TACCTGCATTGGACTTATAAAATGGTATTGGACTCAAGAAGAGAAAGAGATAATGATGGAGATAGCAATAATGATGGAAATGACACTTATTCTGCATATATATACTGTCTAGCTGTCATTAAGAATGGGTCTATTTTTACATGGAGGACAGGGCTGATTTAATTTGAAAAGTTAAGTTATTTACGCAATATGTAGCTTTGCTTTGGAAGTCTATAAAGATTCTCAGTCATCCAGGTCATGGTTGTCCCAAAGGTGCTTTTTCACGAGGCAGCTAGACTTCCTTTTTTTTTTTCTTTGAAGACAGTTCACTTCTCATCCAAGAAGCTTCTTCAGCTTTGGGACAATAGTCATGAGCTGGATGACTGAGAATCTCCATAGACAGTTAGCTATGCAGAGAGCTGGAGAAGCTTCTTGGATGAGAAGTGAAACATCTTCAAAGAGAAAAAAAAAAGAAAGTCCAGTTGCTTCGTGAAAAAGCATCTTTGGGACTTTAATTTGGAAGTCGAAGATTCTGTTCTTGTTGTTGTTGCAGCTGCGGTAATATCAGACTCTCTTCTACCCATATTATTATATTTTAGATAAATCTGATAGCTGAATGCCTTTCACTAGGCCAAAAGGACCCATTTTGCCACGTACAGCAGGGCTTTTCAACCTTTTCACACATTGTACCACTTTTAGGATATGGCAATATCCAAGTACCACCAGTCGCCTAGCAAGGTGTCTAAAACTTGATGACCAAAAAAAAGGGAGGGAGTAATAAAGTACAGGTAGTCCTCGACTTACAACAGTTTTCTTAATGACTGTTTGAAGTTACAATGGCACTGGAAAAAGTGCTCCCCAAGCCACAGCCGAGCAAGACACCTGCCCGCCCAGCAGCGCTCTTCCTCCTGTCCTAGGTTTTCATTGTTGTGAATATTTCTGTTGAGAATTGGCAGTGGAGGTGGGGTGGGGGGTGTCTGGTTTTTATTCCCCCATCTGCTGGGTGGTTGCAGCAGATTTTGGTCACTGCACATGATCCTGGGACACTGTGACCATCGTAAATATGAATCAGTTGCCAAGCATCTGAATGTAAATCACAAGACCCTGGAGATGCTGCAACATTCCAGCTGATCGGCGCTTCTTCTGGGCTCAGTAGAAGTGCCAGGATCAGTGCTGCTTTCCAGCTGAAGCCTGGCGCTTCCGCTGAGCCCTGACAGCCATGAAGAAGCACTGATCCTGGCACTTCTGCTGAGCCCTGACAGCCCTGCAGCTCCAGCCATCTCTCGCTCAGGCTTGTACGGTGCTGTCACCGGTTCAGCTCATTCCCCTCCCCCCCTACCACTTTTCTAGGATGGTCGCGTACCACCTGGCAGGTGCCAATATACCACAGGTGGTACCCGTACCACTGGTTGAAAAGCCCTGACGTACAGTATTAAACCTTGTCAGAGATTGAACAGGCCTTCTATATGGATAGACTTTTGCATCCCTTGCCAAGAGTTCTTCATGTAGGAAATGTAGTCCATGATCCAGGAAAAACTGGAGAGCTTAAGCCAATAGGAGAAGATTAAAATCCAGGCAGAAGTTTCTATTTTAAATAGGCCAGGTTTTTTTTTCACAGTGAAGGAAGAATACTATCTTTTTCTACTATTAATGGATCCCCACCTTATTCAAAGAGTATAAAAATAGGCATTTTTGTCCATGAAAGGAAACCTGGGCTGAAAAATTATTCCAATATTCCGCATTGGAACTCCTTGATAAACAACATGTTTGATCATCATGCAAGGTTTCATTCTTTTCTCTGCTCATGCCCATCTGTCAGGGTGGCACTGTGCCCAATTTCCAGATGGTTCTCCAATTTCAGAGGTCCAGAGGTGCTGGAAAAAGATGAGTTTATATAACATTGTTAATGCCACCTTTTCTCTCTCCATCCTTTCCGCACTGACAGCTTAAACCAATTGGCACTATTGCAACACGTACGATGCCTCTTCAAAAATCATAGGAATCAGAGATGGAAATAAGCTTAGGGGGAAATCACTGAGCTAATTTACTGAGCTGGAACATTGCTCTTATCTCCTGCAATATGAATATCACTGGGTAAAAAAGAAAGACGGCCTGATTCCAGCAGGCATACGTGATTGCCAATAACAACACCGGGCTTAGAGTATGCATGTGATAACCTCGGAGACCATACGGGATGTCAGAAAGTATTATACTGAAATTCACCCCTTCTATTGACTCTGTATATCATTAGTGAGAAATGAGTGGGGGGGATTCATGATGTGGGTCAGTTCTGGGATGTAACAGAACCTACATAAGCTGTTCTCTGAAAATATTTCTTTGACAACCACCTAGGGTTGACTGTGTCAACTTACCAGAGAGGTTTACATCACAATTGGGAAAACTTCATTGAAAAATAGTGAAGTTCAAGAACTTTGGTATGATATAACTGAAAGTGTGCTCCTATGTGAATTCTTTAAATTTTGAGTTGTCGCTGATGAATGAAGTTAAGCTAGTGTCATAAAAAACAATGTGTCATTTACTGCAATCTCATTCCCATTTACGCTTTTCACAAAATAATTCATTCTGTATCCCCATTGCTTCTTCTTTTTCTAGCATCTTCTGGTCTATCCATCTAGTGCCAAGTAAAGGCATCTTGGGCATTTTAGGATTTTGATTTTTTTAGATAATTTTAATAATTAAATTTTAATAATTTTAGTATTAATGCGCAGTGCACGCTAGATTTCCCTGTTGCCTCTATGTTTCTTTACCGTTGGCTCTTATTGTGCTTTTATTTTTGTAATCTGTAAGAACTCATTATTGCCCAATGCTGGTCTCAGTTCCAAGATGTCTGTTCAAATATTTATGCCCAATTACATAACATTGTTCATAAAAAAAATCTCAAAAAGCTATTTCCAGATCCAGATAGGATGTAGTTGCTCAATATTCTTCCCTATTTCTAATGTGATTCTTATCTCTGGGTTACTTATTGTTGGTAGGAAGCTAAATAGTGCAGTCCTCCCTCATTCTTTCTATATGAGTAATTTGGATCCAATTAAACCCCTAAAGTGGAAATTTAGAGAAAAAAAACTCTACCGGTTGAATCGTTTCCTACAGTGCTATATATGGGCTTTAGGTCCTTGGGGGGGTGCAACATCAGTTTTCATTAAGACTCTTTGAGCTCCTTTCTTTTGAGTGTATCAGGTCCAGTTAGTCTTGACAGCAATAGGAATTGTCATTGTCCAGGATTTGCAAAGATGGCCATTCACTGGTTCAAGGAATTGCCGTAGGATTGTTAGTAGATGGAGAGGATTCAGAGCTTAAGAAGGATTGATGAATTAGAACATTGCAATGTTCTTTGTGAAGAATCCCATCAGTAACCCAGTGACCCCATTTCTTTCTTTCTATGACAATCAGTCGCCCGAAGTTAAAGAGACAGAAAGAGATTGTTGTCTATTTCTCTAAAGAAAAAGAGAGCATCTAATGCAACAAAGGGCTTGAAAATACTGTGTTAAGCCCAGACAATATTTGATGGCTAGTTATGTGCAACCTTCCCAGTTCTCTTCTTGCTTTTTTTTTTTTTTTTTAATGAAAAATGACAAAGGGAACAGACCAGGCGGATGAACCCTGTACCTCGGGGCATTTTTTTCACTCAAGCCATCTCTCTCTCTCTCCAGTTTTTGCTTTTATTTTCTTCAGGGAGGAAGAAGCAGTTCAGGGGAATTGTGCAGAGAGCTTCATTGAAGCTTCCTGTAATTATGTTTCCAGAAGGGAGGAAGGGATAAGAGATGGAATCATGCTACATATAAGAAGGTGGAATTCAAGCCAAGCAATATTTTACAGAAATTATGAAACTGACCAGAAAGAGACCAAGACAATTAAGGGTGGGCTGATTAACAGGGTTACCTGCAAAGGTTAGAAAGGACTGAGATAAGAAAATAGCCAATAGCCCATTTAATGGAGGCCCACATCATGAGGAATCAGAGCTATAGCCCTGCTTGTTGGATTACATGTGGAGGGACTCGGTGTCTTCTATTAACCAGATTGTTTCATTTCATCCAAATTATGGAAAAGTCAGAATGTTAAACCTTGATACTGCTTTAATAAGCTCTTGAAATTAGACTTGGAAAATGTATTAGTTATACAATAGTTGAGGAATAAGTTCTTGGGGCAATTTCTTTGACTTTGGGCTATTCCTCGTGGCTTGCTAATGGTGACATAAAGATAGCCCATTAACCATTGCACAGACACAGCTTTGTCATGTTGCTTTTGCCTCATCCACAGCTAAGTGTGGAGGTAGCTGAAAACCATATGTTGTGTATTAAACCATTTTCATAGGACTGTTATAAAACGGTTAACTAAAGATGTTCAATTCAAATCCTTAACTGTCTGTATGAAAGTATTGCAAGCCTGTGTTTTTGGCAGGATTGTATGCTTTAAACTCATTGGCTACTGCCTAGTGGTGGTCTGTATAAATAGGAGTCAAACAGCTGTTAGAGCCGCTTCTGTGTGGATTGAATAAACGAGCTGTTACTTCACTCCTGTGTCTTCAATGCCTCACCGTTCCCAATATCTAATACCATAGTTAGATGTTTCTGAGATGGGACAGGAGCTGTGACCAAATAGAAACATTATGGAGGTTTCATTGAGTGGTACAAAGTGAAGGTGAGACATCAATCTAATACCAACAACTAGTGCTTCATAGTTTTATTGGCTATTTTGCCAGGCAAAGCTACCATCACCAGAGACCAATGGAGCAGGAGGGATAGTTTTGACTGGTAAAATATGATCCTACTTTGTAAACTAGGCCCACACCCAGCCCCATGGATCAGCTATTTTAAGGCCAGGTTTTAATTGGTTGGTCAAGCCATCTATCAAAACCTGTCTCCTCCCTTAGGCTTTGCTATTGGTGGTTATTTTTCCCAACAGCAGCTAATGTTAGGAGAATCCACCAATTACTTTCTTTGAAATGCCCTACATTAAATTTGCAAGGATTGAACCAAATACTGGTATACTTTGCTGATGGAGCATAGGCTGCAGCAAAGAGGACTGTGCCAAATACGTCAATATACTTTTGTGGCATTTTGTTGATTGGAGAAAAACATTTTAATAGGGTTGGGAGAGTAAACCTTCGTGAAAGAGGAGGTGGGTTAAAATAAATGATATAAAAGCTTATAAAGACACAGTATAATATTCTTAATTTTCTTAGTAGCTCATATATCAGATTAACTTATTAATACAAATATGAGTTATCATGTAATGCCAAGGGAGTGTGTTTTTTTTTAAATCAAATTGTTAAACTAATGACAATGGAACATTTGCACATAATCCAAAAACATAAAAGCTAAGACAAAATGCATAATCCTCATGATGATCTAGTCTGGTGTGATGTAAGTAAAAGAGTTTTAAGTTGATTTTCATGAGACTCAGAAGCAGTGAAAAATGCGTGCTGAGGGAGAAATTTGAACAGGTGCCTCCTTCTTGAATGTTATCATTTTTATGAGGTTCTTTAGTATTTTTAAATACTATCATTTCGTATGAGCTATTCCATAAAGGTCTCAGAGCTAAAGATTCAGTCTATCATAGTATAATTAGCAATTCCTAATATAAATTTTAGTAGGGAAAAATATTTCTTTTTCTTTTTTCTTTCTTTCGTTTTTTTTCTTTTTTTTCTTTTTCTTTCTTTCTTTCTTTTTTTTTTTTTTTGCTGATAACGTAGTCAGCTTGTGAATTTTGATTTCTGTGATGTGCAGAAGTCTCTTCCAGGTACTACAACTGCCAGACAAACTTTTGAAGTGATGCAAAGCATTTTTGTGAGGAGAACTGGATTGATAATGAAGATTTTTCCATTATATGAAGTTCATTGTTAAGACGGGACTAAGCTGCCTTGCCCGGGCCTTGTAACTACCAGAAAATTATGATAGTTATCCAACCTATATCAATCTGAAGCTTTCTTGATGAGTTAGATTACATTACTTTTCTGCCTGAGGATGTTGGGATCTAGAGTCTAACCCATTTTAAGACCACTAAATTGGGAAGGCCCAATTTGACATAATCGTTACAGCATCAGGCCAGAAACTGTGAATCCCACCTAAAGCACAAAGACAGGTGGGTAACCTTGAGCCAGACACTCTCTTAAACAGTGGTGGGATTCAGCCGGTTCACACCAGTTTGGCAAGCTGGTAGATTTTTTGTTGCCTAGGCCCAGAATGAACTTCCGGAAGCGGCATCCACACAGAGAACCGGTTGTTCACATATTTGAATCCCATCACTGCTCTTAGTCCAAGGACTGAGACTATATTGAAGCCACCACTGAAACAAGAACCAGTTGCATACAGTATGGTAACTTTGGCAGGTAAAGTAGAAGGTTGTTATATTACCTTTTCCTTTCCCCCAGATGTCACCTGCCTCTTGCGATTAGACTTATGGGTTTCCTTCAGCATTCCTGGCATCCACATACATCCTTATTGGAGACAGATGCATGTTCCTTGGACTCTTTTGATTTTTTTCCCCCCTGTTCTCCAAGCAGTTCTTTCATTCTGAACCACAGCTATACAGAAATAATTTTCTGCACTTTTCTACAAGGATATATCCTATGGCCTAGTTTTGTCTCGAGTTCTCCTGAATTCCCTCTGGTGTACAATGAAGCCTTTCTGGTGTAAAATCTATAGGGGAAGGCTGTTTGCTCGTATTCTGAATTTGCTTCCTGATGCCATCATGTATTCAAATTTAATGGAGTGAGTGATAGTATGAGCCACATTCAAATGGCTGCCCTCTCCTGTGGAGTTCCTCAGAACTCAACACATTCCCGACACTTATTTAACTTTTACATGAAGCAACTGAGTGAGATCGTTCCGTGCTACAGGGTGAAGAATCATCAATGATACTTAATTGTACATCTCCCCTTGGAATGCCCAAGTGATGCGGTAGAGGTTCTGTTTCAGTGTCTGAAGGTTATAGGGATCTGGATGAAGAAGAAGTTTCAACTCAGTCCAGAAAGACCTAATGGCTTTGGGTTTTAGAGCCTCCTGGATCCAGAGATTTTTCCATCTCTAGTTCTGGATGGAGTTGCGCTAAGACAGACACAATTTAGGGGGTTATCCTGGATTCATGGCTTTTGTACGGAGAGCAGCCATGATCAGGAGGGCTTCAGAACAACTTCCCGCTGTGTACCAATTGGATCATTCTTGAATCAGGCAGTGTTGCACGTGGTCATTAATGCTTTGTTCACCTCTTAAGTGGCCTACTACAATATGCTGAATGTGGGCAGCTCTCAAAGAACATCCAGAACCTGCAGTCAGCCCAGAATGTGATGGCATGAACAGCTATAGGTGTGCTTCAATATACTTACATTGCATCCATGCTTCATGAGCTGCTTTGGCTCCCAGGAGGTTTCTGGGTGCAATTGAAAGTGCTGGTTGTCACCTATAAAGCCTTTTATAGCACGGGATCAGGTTATCTGAGGGATGTTTCTGTCCAATTGTCTCTAACCACCCTGTCAGATTCGCTAGAAAAAGCATGCTCCAGGTAGTGTCATCTGGAAAGATCCAGGGAGTGTGCCTTTTCTGGAGCATTACCTGCCCTCTGGGACATCATTCCTCCCATATTCCCAACCTTGCTGGCCTTTGCTAAAGGCCTTCAGAACTGGCTTATCTCTCACTCGTGAGAGCTTGGAAGACATTGAGTTGAATGAATTTGCTGAATTTAACTTGTTTGTCTCCCATGACCATTTTTCTTTCATTTTCTGATGCATTCTATTTATTGAATTTTGTCATTATATTGACGTTTTTATTGTGCCAGTCACACAAAATCACTTTATATGAGACAGAGAGCCATATGAAACTAAAAAAAAAAAAAAAACAAGTCTTCAGAGCTTCCATGGGTGAAGATTTGGGATGAGAAATGAGGAAAATTAGATGAGGTCAGACATAGATGAAATCATCGTGCAAAGCCTGATATTTATCCAGTGTCAAGCTGGAACAGAACTCAGATATCATCAATAATTCTACTTTTATCTTATAGTGTTATCTTCTTTTGTGCTTTGATGTCATGTATAGTTAGTTCTCAAATTATGACCACAACTGAGCCCAACATTTATGTTGCTAAGTGAGAAATGTGTTAAGTGCGTTTTGCCCCATTTTGTGACCTTTCTTGCCACAATTATTAAGTGAATCGCTGCAATTGTTAAATTAGTAACACAGTTGTTAAGTGAATCTGGTTTCCCTATTGACTTTGCTTATCAGAAGGTTGCAAAAGGGGATCATGTGACCCTGGGACACGGCAACCGTCATAAATGTGAGTCAGTTGCCAAGCATCCGAATGTAGATCACATGACCTTGGGGATGCTGCAACAGTCATAAGTGTGAAAAATGGTCATAAGTCATATTTTTAGTGCCTTTGTAACTTCAAACGGTCACTAAGCAAACTGTTCTAAGTCAAGGATTACCTGTATTGTTTTTGTGGGGGGTTTTTTTGATGATAATGAGTATATTGTAAACTGTTATGAGTGTTTTAGGGATCCAGTAGTATCTAGAAATATCAAATAAATAAATGCATAAATGATTCCTTCATGATCAATAACAATCGCCTTAAGAAGAAATTGATTTTTAAGTTACATTTCTTTAAATGTGGTACAAACTGCATTAAAATCCCAAATTTTGGTGACTCCTCCTTTCATGTACATATACATAGAATCACTCCTTCAGCTTTAAGATTTTCAGACACACACATACACACAAACTCATACATATATGGTCCTCGACTTTCGACCACAAGTGAGCCCCAAGTTTTTATTGCTAAGCAAGACAGTTGTTAAATGAACTTGGCTCCATTTTACAAAGTTAAGTGAATCAATGTAGTTCTTAAGTTAGTAATATGGTTGTTAAGTGAAACTAGTTTCCCCTTTGACTTTGTTCATCAGAAAGTCTCAAAAGGTGATCCCATGACCCCGGGACATGGCAATTGTGATAAATATGGGCCAGTTGCCAAGCGTCTGACTTTTGATCACGGGACCATGGGGATGCTGCAGTGATCATAAGTATGAAAAACTGTCATAAGTCGCTTTTTTCAGTGCTTTTGTACCTTCAAACAGTCATTAAATAAATAGTTGTAAGTCAAGGACTACCTGCATTGGTTATTTTGATGATATTGGGTGAATGGTAAACTGTTAGGAGGTGTCTAATGATATCTAAATACATCAAATATATCAATACATAAAGGATTCCTTCATGATTAATAGTGATTGTCTTAAAAAGAAATGGATTTTTAATTACATTTCTTTAAATGTGGTACAAACTGCATTAAAATCCCAAGTTTTAATGATTCCCCCTTTCATGTACATATACAATCATGCCTTCATTTTTAAGATTTTCATACATACACAGACACACACACACACACACACATAGATATATACATATAGAGAGTGTGTGTGTGAGAGAGAGATGCACACACATACCGTTCTTCTTTGCCTAAATTCTCGTGATCATCTTAAAAATAGAAATTATGGCTAAATTATTGTACTGTGAATTATTGTGTTCTGCTCTGAGCTTGTTGATGCAGATCTAATTATTTATGTGGGACCTAAGAGCCCAGAAGCAGGCTCTTTTGAAGCTGCTGGCAGTGGAACTGAAGATATTTTTCAATTTTTTATGCTGTGTTATTCCTGGAATTAGAATGAGATGAGATGTCAGGTTCCACTCCTTCAGCAAGGAGAATAAATGCTTCATGTTTTGGATGTTATGAACGCAGACACAAAAGATGAGTAACCTTCTTATGAGCAGCTTTCCTGAGCAATAAATGGGAATATCAAATACCTTAAGGGGAAAAAATATGTTCGTTTTAAGGCAGCCACTACAAAAAGGTTTAGAAATGCAGAACAATAAAACAGCCATTTGGATCGTAGACAGATGGATAAGAGGAGAGCGTGTTCATTTTTGCTGAAGTGCCCTTCAGGCCAAAAAAAATCTATGAACAATTAGAATCTAATCAAATTCTTTTAAAAAGAATGAAATTTTATTTGATGGTGTAAGTAACCATGATTTAACCTGTGGGGAAATTCTGTCCATTCAGTAACAAGAAGAAAGCTTGGTTTTGTATTAAAAAAAAGAAAACCTCGCAAAATGCTTTTTAAAAAAAATCAGCAACTAAGAATCTATTCAGGCTTAAAGCCCCCTCAAGGAAAATATGGAAGCTAAGCTAAACATTTCATATCAAATGGAAATCAGGCTTATGACAGGCCTTTTGCAGCCAGTTCCACATCTACTAGGTTTAAGATAATGTGGAAAAAGCTGTCTGGTTGGGGACAAACTATCTATCCAATCTCTGAGCTTTGCAAGCAATATTCCACACACAAAAAAAATGTGCTAATTCACAGAATCTGAAATTCAATAGAAATTGTCACAAAGAATATTGAGCTGGCATAATTATCCCCATATGGAGCAACATTTAAAGCCATCTTGAAACTTCTGCTAGCACAAAATGCTGCTGTCACTGGAATATTGTTTGGTAGACTAAAACAGGACATTCTTTTATCTGTATTTCTTAAATTTAAAGGTATTAACCAGATTAGGACCTGATCAACTAGCTCTGTTTATCTGCTTAGACTTTTGAATTAGCTTTGGAAGCTCTCTTTCTCTGGCCACTCCATGCATTCCTCAAACTCCCAGTTTAAAGCAGAGGATATTTATTAAAGCCTGATTTGGTGAATGGGAAAGACATTAGTTTCTGTCTAGTTACCCCATTTTTCCAATTTTACTTAGAAGTTCTGATATTGAGAACAAGTGACAGTCTTTTGAGGTAAGCTGATACTTACTCACCTGCTCTGTAGTGGATTTATGTAAGCACAATGACATGAACATTCTGTTAAAACAAAAGCACTAATAATTGAAAGACGAGCATCAGTAATGAAAACTGAATCAAGAAGAAATTGGAAAGAATTGTCAAATGATTTTTTTTTCCTTCTCAGGTCTTTATATGCAAGGTTATATGACAACAGCTTTTTTCTTCAATCCTGTATGTGAGGAAGATGGGGAGAGACAAGGAGGTCAGTGACAAAATGGGCACTGTAACATGATCCCATTCCTGTGAATTATGTACTAGTATCTACCATTGCAACATAAATACAAAAGAGTATGTTTGTGTTGAGGCCTCAGCTTTCACATGCCATTTCTTCATTGTTGTGAATACTTATGCAGACTCATTTCTCCAGCACCTTCTAGTATCAGCTGCTTGAGGCAATGCTTCACTTGGATTAACAGCAGAACCTGCACTGGTATAGAAGTGTATGGAGATAACCTGATATATTACTGGAGACGTGATCTTTCTGCATTAAACTAAGCAGATACAGACCTAAAACTGGTAAAAGCCAGGTTGAAATCTCAGTTGGAAACTGCCTACACCTTTGAGTCCATCCATTCAATCTAACTCAGAGGTCAGTTGAAATGTATATTACTTTGACCCCTGGGAAAAAAGCAAATTAATTAAAAGTTTTGAAGCAAGATCATCTTTGCATCGGCTTTTTAGATATTATGAGACATCAGTCAAATGCCAATCGTATATGTGATGTATGCATATATTATTCGGTAGATTACATCTTTCTTCAAGTTGTTGAAGGATTCCTCCACCTCTGTAACAGACCACTGTGGGTGAATTCAGCTGTAGGAAGATCACCTAGCTTTCAACTTGAAATTGATCACAATCTAAAACCCTAACCATTTACTACTTTGGATCTCCAGTGTGTGACAGCTGATTCAGAAGATCTGTGCAGGGTTTTAATTTTGATTTCTAAAAGGTGTTTTGGAACATGTTAGGTCTGAAGGTCTTTAACATGGCTGGCAGCCACACATTTCCCTGGGACAATATGGTAGCTATTTAATACCTTCCTCATGCAGCTTCAGTTAAGTGTCAAACACAAGAGATAGATTCCAGCTGTAACGATCTTAATAAATCTGATGTTGAAATACAAGATGCCACAAATAGAGTAAGTCTATAACACTATAGGTAATAGGACAAAGATGCCAACTTAGTTACCAGAGCTGCAGGTACCCCCGCCCCCAAATTAAGCCTGTCCTCCCCAGAAAATTCCAAAAGTTGTTACCAACTTTTTTTCTAACAATATACAAGAAAAAAAATTATTCAAGACATGACTGAGAAATAATTATATTCACTGTATTTTGGTTTAAGTACTGTATGTGTAAATTAAATTGGAATGAACTACATCCAAGTTCATTTTTATCCTAACTCTGCCATTACTTTTTGAAGTGTGGCTCTTTTATTCTACTCATAAGTCAAATGAAGTTCTGGACCCAGAAGAATTTACACTATTTTAGTTTACAGCAAAAGGTTGGAAGAATGGGAAAAGCTAGTTAGCCAGAGCAGGTGGCCTTCCCAACTAGATACGATATGAGGGAGAAATGTTCTATGAACAAATATTTTTGAAGAAAGGCTTTATTAGGTAAGCAACTGTATCAACCAGCATCTTGTTTCAGGTTGATCAGAAATGATCGAAGCAATTGAGATAACAAACATTTCTAGTTGACTAAGCCCATAGCCCGTATCATATATAGCACCATTAAGCTTCTGCCTGAATTCACTAGAACTTATGTCCTTCTAAATGTGTCAGTGACTTCCTCCTGAAGGCATTGCACATCAATAAAAAATTGACAGAGCTCCATGGAAGTTACTCGGTGACAGAAAATTCATTTGCCTGTCTTCAAAACAAAGGCGAGCATCCAAAGTGATCAATGCCACCATGAAGCTAATATTAAGTATGCAAATAATGGTAATGGAACTTGTCACCTGCCTGCAGCTTAGCAGGGGCTAAGAGAGGTTTAGCAGGCTGGGCCCAAAGTCCTCATTCCTTCAGAAAGAACCATTCTTCACCTGCCTGCACATGAATAAAACGTTTGCTCTTCTTTCTTAAAGCCCAAGGGTTACATTCAGCCCCATGTGATCGAGCTGCTTGGAAATTAATTTACCTCGCTCAATGGAGCAAATTTGAGAGATGCACAGGAGGAGGGAGATTCAGTATCTATTTCACTGGCTGACAGACACAGTTGGATACAGCCTCTAAAATTACCTTTTGGGAGGTTTTTTTTTTAAAGTACTACTTCTCTATAATGCAAAACTCTGTTCTTCTCCTTTAGAAATAGTTAGTGCAGAGAAAAGCAGGAAAACACCTCATGAAGTGAACTATTAATAAATAAGATTTTTATTTATGGGACTTCTTGGAGTGAGACAATCTTCTAGAGCAGGGGTAGGCAACCTTAGCTCTTTTATGCCTCGTGGACTTCAACTCCCAGAATTCCTGAGCCAACCATGGCTGGCTCAGGAATTCTAGGAGTTGAAGTCCACGAGGCATAAAAGAGCCCAGATTGCCTACCCGTTCTAGAGAAAGGTTTATTTCTCGGTAAAACAGAGATGGGCAACCAGTTGACTGCATGTAGCCCCAATCCTCATGTTTATGAACCTGGAGCGTGTCTCCAGTTGTGCTGCTAAATCTGAGGGCAAAAATGTAGGGATTCCTATGTTTCTGGAGAACTAATACAAAAAAAAATTAGTTGCGTCTCAATTCCACCAAGAAGCACAAACAGTGGGTTATTGTCTTTAGCAATTTCATCGTATTGCCTCCACATTCCTGCAGTTCTTTGAAGTGGAAAATATTAAAACAAATGCATTCCCCAACTGTATAAAAAGTTGCCCAACCTGCATGCCAGGAAATAAATGAAGCAATGTTGATACATACTGAAGTAATGCGTGAAGATATGAGAGGACTACACTGTGGGACATCTTAATTTGAAGAGGATATTTGTTATTTGCAGACAGGAGATGTCTAACCAAAATCCATCCAGATTTCATGATATATTGACCTGTTTTCTCAGTGGTGGTAATTCACCTCTAATGTTGTTGGAACCTTCTCTACATCTGATACATAACACAATCTTGAGAAAGAAAAGGATGAGCGGTGAGTTTTATTTCATTTGAGCTGAAGTTTTTCATTTGGCAGGAAGTTTTTGCTTCCCCTCATACTGGGCTATACTATTCATCTGGAACAAAAACTAGTAAAAATATATGACTTAAATACATTTTTAATGACCCTATAATTTCCTGCATGGGGGGGGGGATTGAATAGAGTTGAGCGTTTACTGGCCAGATGCCTTTCTTGACACCTATGTGGAGTTCACAGCAGATATTTTCTCTTTGTACCCAAAAGAGAGAAATATCTGCCACTACCTAGAATTGAACTCACAGCCTCCTGATTGTGAGGCAAGAATTGCACCTCTAGGCTACCATGCCACTTGTATGACTAAAATACAGTAACCTAACATAATCCTGAAAAAAAGGGAGGATGGAAAGAAGTATTTCTAGTAAATGCAGAGCTCGCCTTCCATTATTCCTGGAAGCTGAAGCCATGGGGTTAACTATTTTGTTTCCATCACTCACAAGAATCAGATTAGTTATCCACATACTGTTCTTCATCAGCACTGTGCTTTTGCTGCTTCATAGTCATGATCCACAGTCAAAATCAGGGTGAATGCTTTTCAATCCAGAAGAAGGAAGTAATGGATATGTTCCACCCTATGGAGAAAGCTTAAAAACCACAAGAATCCAATTGGCTTTAGCTTATTTTCAGTCAATTATGCATGAAGGGAAACTTTGCTACATTTGGATGGCTCTGTGATGCGGAGGCCAGTTTTTAATTAATTGCATTTCTGATTGTCAAGATATCATTGTTTTCTGTTTTTGGTAATCTGATCTAGTGGTATATTGTTTCTTAATGCTCATATTGTGAGCTGCCTTTTGAGAGTGGCTATACAAGAAGATGAGTTGGCACTCAAGCAATTTAATTAAAAAGAGGGGCTATGAAGACGCCTATTGCAGCATTCTATCATTTTGAATCAAGATAATTCCCTGAACTATGAAATATAGATCCATTTCTCTTGTGTATTTTTCCATTTGAACATATGGCCCACATACAGTATACATATTTACTGGATATTCTGTTTTGTACCAGCCAACACACTGCTCAAATTCGTTCTCTGATAGAACTGATATCGGTGGTTTGGGATAGCATGTTGAAATTTTCCTGAGCTTTATGTGCTGAAACAGTTCCTGGGTATCTTGGCAGCTAGAGGCTTATGAAATGCAAAGCTATATCATACACTTTTATTTTTGTATTCTAGATACATAGCTGATGTGAACTGCAGAAAAGTTATTTTTATAGACTGGAATACCCTTTGGTAGAAGCTGGAGGTAGTGATAGAATCATTGAACTGAACAGACCTTGAAGACCCGTAGACTAAATGACTTTCAAACAACTCTAGAGAAATCTTTCACCGATGATAGCCAACTGACTTCCCTAAACACCAACTGAATTGAGGCTTGGACAGATGACATTCATTTTGACTGCCAACATTCAGTTCAGTTCTTCTTTTGTTTTATAAAAGAACAGAGACGAAAGATAGTGAAACAACATAACTCAAGGAAAATTCCTAATAAATCCTTCAATAGGAATGCACATCCTTAATTCATATTTGATTCTCTGATCAAAAGGTTCTAGAAGGCTGTGGGTGATCTGGGAGTCTACATGTGCTCAGCAATTAAAAGAGTGTTCTGTCCTCCCGCCCCAGTTTGCAGAATTTTATTGCGGAATATCTTTTGTTTATACTGCTTGAGATTCATCAGATCTGAGAAGGTGGCCTCTATAGATGAGCTATTAAAAGTTTCCTTTTATGAAAGTTAGCTTCCAAATGACGAGTTTAATTGGATTTCTATTGTTCTCCTTGTTACAATTAATGCTGGAACTTTAACCTGTTTGTGCCCCTTTCCTTGACTGATGTATACTTGGGAGGTTTAATGCTGCTCTCTGGTTTAGAAAAGCCATTGTTCCTGAAAAGGAAATTATGCATTCTAAGAGAAATAAAACAACCCATGTTCTTAGTATTGCTATCAAATATATTATAGTTTAATATTAAAAACAGAATTCCAATTGAAATGTTCAGGCCAATTGTAGAAATGTTTAGAGCTGGGACATTCCTTTGTGATGTCCTCTTAATTTTTAAGAAACTGTTAAAATAACTACCAAACAAGATTAATATTGATTTCTGGCATTTGGTAGAAATAAACTCTTTTATGGGCTATTTTAAATGTCAAGATCAATGATTCAGCTTGTATGACTCTGAGTATGACTTTCCATACAATAGTCAAGTAGCTGTGAATTTGTTTCATGACTTCATTATGTGACCTTGATTGCAAGACAATCCTATAACAAACATGTAATAGTGAATTTCTTCAAAAAGCTGTTGTAAAGGTAGTGCATAGCAACATAAGTAGAAGCTGCAAATTTAAATTCATACTTGAAATATCCCGTTTTCTTCTAAATATAATATGCCATTTTTTGCTATCATAGTCAAAGCACATCTAAGCTCAGGGCTAATCAAAACAATGACAAAATTAAAAACAAACTAAATTAAATCCAGATGTTGGATATTTCTTATATTGGGCCTTTCTCTTTTATAGTAAAGCCCCAGAACATTCCCAAAGTTGTAAGTCTATATACAAACCTTAACAAAGCCAAGATATTATTATGTGTTATTCATCAATGAGATTATTTTTAATTTTAGTTTTACAGGATGGCGCACAAAACACTAAATTTGGCCTGTTGGGACATTAAAAGAGCTCTACTCTTTTCAAAGATTAAGCCAGGTTAAGCATCTGTCTACCAAACTAAGTGGTTTGAGACTGGAATCTCCAAAGGATTACCCATACCCTGGTCTGTTTCTGAATGTTAGAAAGTTAAACCTGAGTGACCTCTTTCATGCTGCTACAGAAGAAAACTTATTCTATTGAGCTGAATGTGTCTCTTTATTGTCATTTGTAGGCTTTTTGATTTTTGCAGCCCTGATATGGTGGCCATATCTTTGTGAATCCCATAAAGTTTACACTAAGTTATAGCAGCTGAGAAGTGTAAAAACTCACCAAGCCCACCATGGTATAGAATCAATTAAGTAAATGATGACAGATGGCTGTAGCTATAAGCTTCACAGAACTCATGTCAGAGGTCAACTCTGGAGCTTATTCAAAACAACAAATTGTTAAACGTCACCCAACGAGTTTATATAGTGGGGAAAACAATTTTATTTCCAATAATCAAAACCCTCCTCAGCATTTGGGTTGGTCTGGAAAAGAAAACTACATAAACTACTTTGAATTTGTGTATGATAACTAGGTTTTTTTTTTAACATAAAGTAGACAACCAGGCCACAATTATTTCTTCTGTATCTTCCTAACAGAAGTTAAACTCCGAGGAGCAAAATTACTTGACCCTTCAGATAGTTACCTATGAAGAAGCTTTCATTATCTTCTTAGCAATTATGGCTGCAAAGCTTAGATGTTTCCCTAGGACAAGGGTGTCAAACTCAATTTCACTGAGGGCCGCATCAGCATTGTGGTTGCCCTTAGGGGGCTGGGTGAGTGTGGCCAGGGTGGGTGCAGCCTACTGGGTGGGCGTGGATGGAGTGGGTGTGGCCTACTGGGTAGGCATGGCCAGTTCTACATCATTCGTGTCAAGGGTGCCTGTGGGGGCCTGGGCAGGAATGGGACAGATCTGAGGGTCTCTGGCAGAAGGGGGTGGGGCCAGGGCAAGTGCCAAGGCACGGTCCACCGGGTCAAGTGCCAAGATGGCCACCACAAAATTGTACATTGGCTCCCAGCTGGCCTGGGCCAGGGCCAAGGCAGTGGGGACCGTTCCTTCACTGTTTCCAGGATGGCTTTGCGGGCCACATGAAACCACTTCGTGGGCCGCATCTTAGCCTATTTAACCTTTAGCCTCCCTTTTTCTCATCCTCCACTCTGAAGGGAATGAAAAATGTCTTCAGCAGCCCAGTAGTGATATGCATGTTGCAACTTACACTTTCATATTTTAAAGCTGCCACGTTTGAGAAACAAAGATCTATACGATCATTTATATTCTCAGATTTTGCAGTAGCCCCAACCCACCCACCCATCCAGCTTCCCATCCAATACATGTCATAGTTATAATATGATCTATTAAGGGGAAGTTCTCTTCTTTTTATTGTCCCTCAATTCAGATATTCAGTCTACAGTTAACTTTTGGTTACTCGCCAGATGAAGAAATCCATTAAGGCAGATAGGCATGTGTGAAGTGAGGATTAAAATTGAATTATCTCCACTAATTCTGTGATCTTGATGGAGATCAGCTGCACAAATTTCATGCTCAACATACTGTGTCCACTTCTATGACTGAACAATGATTGATATGCATTCCTGTTTCTGCTATACCCCACACTCTTATCCCATCACTAACACTTTAACTAAAAGTTGCACATGTGTTGAAGTGTTTATATGCAACCATCAACCCTTTTCCAGTACAGTGTAATGCAGGTTTTATCAAGAGTTATGTGTTATAGTTTAAACGTATCTCCAACTGTTTTGGAGGGAAAATGAAGTTTGAGTTTCAGCAGGAAAAAAACGTTTAAATTGATTGGTCGTCACCTAGAGGCGGCAAGTATAAATAGCCATCATTCTATCCGTTAAGCCAGTTCTGTTTTCTGTTGCAATAAATAACGTTGCATCTGGCCCGGCTGGTAAATACCTCCCAAAGCCCACTATACAACAAGAGCCATCTTATTATTTCTGTTCTTTAATTCTACTTCAGAGACCACCATTTACAGGCAAATATTCAATAATGGGCCATAGGAAGGTAGACCTTTAAATGCCTCAGAGCACATATTCAGTCCCAAACGTGCTTTTTCAAAAGGCAATCGGACTTTTTGTGTTTCCTTGAAGATGTTTCACTTCTCATCCAAGAAGCTTCTTCAGTTTTGACTGAATGGTGGAGAAGGGAAGGATTTATTTTCCTTGCAGTCGTCTGGTTGTTAGCACTCTCTCTGAGAGTCATTGAACCTCTTGGAGGTTTATCTGTGTCCTCAGGGTCACCTGAATGTGTGTGGAACCTTCTTGGAACTGCTGAAAAGACTGTGTTGTAAACAGAAGATAGGTGGTGTCATATCCCTCCCCCTCTGTTGAGAGTTCCAACTTTCCAAGTTCCTCTCAGCAGGAAAGGAATTAGGAAAAGGAATTAGAGAAAAGAAAACTGAAACCCCCTCTCCCACCCAGACCCCCCCCCAAAACAGACACACAAAGCAGCCAACAATGCAGCAATTAAGCATAATGTTTGACCAATGATCTCATCCATGTCCTCGGTGGTGTCATTTGCCAGCCCAATGCAAATTTCCCTGCAAAGGGGGGGAAAAACTGTTTGCTGCATTTGCTGCCAATCAATAACAGCCAAGCAATACTAAGGAACAGGTGAGATAGGGAGACCCTAAACAATAAACTCTGCCAGTTCCTTTCTCTCCAATTCCACAATGCTACAGCCATTTGAAGATGTAGTTAAAATATTTGTAAGGCTGAAAACATGCCTGACAGACCTGGCTTATCTCCCTCCGACCCCACATACAGTAGTCAATCCATTCCCCTCCTTGCAAAGCAGCAACAAGTTTCTTACAGACTGAACGATTTCCAGCTTCATCCCCCCTTGATAAACAGAAGGTGTTGCTAAAGGAGGTTTCACTCAGCTGCGGAAAGCTGTGACCTTTGAATCTACGGCCTGGTGGAGCCCTGAGTTATTTCACATTTCTCTCTCTTTAAGCACCCTGTGTCTCCGAGCAGATTAGAGGTGGGGGGGGGGAAGGGAGAGAAAGAAAATCTCTAATTGGAAAAACATGCATGGATTTTCTCTCAGTGATGGAGCTGCTACTAATGCCAATGCAAATCAAGGTCCAGCCTTGCAGAGTTCCAAGTTTGCTGCTGGAAAAAAGCAGCATTCAAGATGCTACCTGGAATATGTGGGAGAGGTATAAAAAGCCCCAGGCTAAATGTGGCAAAAAAAACAACAACACAAAAACAAAACAGCCCTTACATTCTTAAGTGGAAGAGAATTTCCAGAATGTAAGCAGCTTCTGAGCAGGTCCAATTCAACAGGTAACTAAATGTTTGCACACAGCAAAGCACAGCTTCAGCTCTAACCAAACTGTTGAATTACATTCTGAAATTGGTGGCTGGATATAATTGAAGGCTGGATGAAGGGAACAGGCCAAGAATAAAAAGAAAGCCCTTTGCTCATTTTCACTTCCAGCTATTGCCTCTCGTTCTGTCTCAGTTCTCTCCAAATTCCGCACCCTTCAGTTTTTATTTTTATCCCACTTTTATTACTTTTGATAAATAACTCAAGATAGCGAGCATACCTACCTAATACTCCTTCCTTCTTCCATTTCTCCACAACAACAACTCTGTGAGGTGGGTTGAACAAAGACAAATTATCCAATTGACTTTCATGGCTAAGGCAGGACTAGAACTCATGACCTCCTGCTTTCTAGCCTGATGCCTTAACTCCTAGACCAAACTGGCTCTCTAGGTTACATGGATGTGGCCTCTGCATGATGCAACTGGCCCACGGGCTGGCAGTTTCACACCCCTGATCTAAGCCCATTCTCAGGCCCTCCTTTTTTCTGATTGTTCCCTTAGCAGCTCTTCTTCCTGTCCTTGAAGGCTATTCCCTCTGCTTACAGAGGCATAAGGAAACACATCCAAAAGGCCTAAATTGTTTCATTCTGGACCAGCTGTGGTTTTCAAGGACAATGTCATACAGACCAGAACATCAAAGCAACTCCACAGGAAGGCTAAGACTACTTTTATGGAGATTGGCTATCATAACAGAACCTTGTAAGTCTGATTGTGCTGTACCTTCTCTTTCTTCTTCTAACTCGGTGACTTAGGGAAGCATCTGCCTGAGCTGCTTTGAATATTATCTAAACATTTTAGATTTAATAAAAACACAGTTCAACCCCTTTTGCCTAGGCAAAAGTCCTTTTTTTTTATCTCCATCAAGGTCATCTTCCTTATTCCAAACAGCCCCATGTAAACCATATGCATCCATGGGATAACTGTATTATGAGTTACCATATAAAGAACTTCTCAGTCCAGCACACAATGCAGCTGTAGACTAGATACAGTATAGCTGTGAAAAGCCTCTCTTAGTCACATCTGCCCCTTACTCTTGGGGCAGGAGCTGTGAGTCCAAGGTAACCCCCAAATTTCAAAAGTTTGAATGGAGAAGTGCAATCTCATCCAAAATGAAAGATTCCCAAAACAGGGAAAATATTTACAGCCACCAGTCTTGCCAGGATGAAGCAACAGATTCTCCATCCAGAATTAAATAGTCTCCAGTTGCTGGGATTATGGTAGATTTCAACAGCATCACTTGGCCTTGGGACTAAGATATATATTATATTGGCTATTATTGACTCCAAGCCAATTGATGATGATGATGATGATGATGATATAATTTCCCAAGTACTAAATTAGCAAAAAAAAAAAAAATACTGCAGTT